AGTTTTGCCATTGGTTAGGAAGGATTTAGCCCCTGGTGAGCACGCCTGTGTGTGCCAGCATGGTGCAGTCTGGATCCTGCCCTTTGGGTGTTGGGTTGGGACACTCTGTGCTTTGCTTCGGGGAAATCCATCACTGGCAGAGAACAGCCTGGGGCTGGAGCTGATGCCTCCCTGTAAAACCGCAGATGTGCTCTACTCAGCCCGAAGGGATCAGGGAAAAGCCCTGTGCTAGGCTGGACAGAAGGAACTGTGCTGCTTCCCCATGTTGGGATCCAAAATCCAGCATATGGAGCCAAAGAGCGCAGATGGGGAAGTGAACGGTGCCGCTACCGAGCAACTGGGTGCTCCCTGGCATGCCGGCTCCTGGCAAGCGGCACCAGCCCCACTGTCCAGGAAAGCACCAGTGCCCCAGGCAGGAGCTGGCTGAAGGAGTTTTGCATCCATGGGAGTTCCATGCTTTGCTGTGCGTGTCCCTGACCTTGTCCTGGGCTCATCTCCTCTCCAAAACCAGCTGCAAAGCCCTGCTCTGGCACCCTGTCTCTCCTGGAAGAGAGAAGCAGGATGGGAGATGCCGTGTCCATAGGCACTGTTGTCCCCATCCCTTTGGGGTGTAAATTATGGTGCCTTAACTTGAAGACAAGAAGAAAACTGGTTGTAAACTGGTGTCAGCTGCATCCTCTGTCTGAAGCCCAATAGCTCAGGTCTCACTTCTTGAGAAGTATGCGGATGGTGGTACAACCTGCCCGTGCCACATACCGTACCAGCAACAGCCCGGCATCTTCAGACCTCCCACCCTCTTCCCTGCTCCTTCCTACCGGCAGCTCCGGCCTGCTTTGCTCTTTGCACCACAGAAAACTCAGCCCCAGGAGCGGGGGCTTTGTAGTGGTCTGAAAAAATAGTCACTGGGCAAAGTTGATAAGTAATAGCCTTAAATTTAAGCACTTAGGGGTAAAATCGTGCTTTTGACTTTTCCCCTCATATGGACCCTTCCAAGAAATGAAACAGGTTGTGAAATGACCTTTGTCTATAGCTAGCAGGGCCTGCTAATGACAAAGCATGTGAATCCTTTCTGTAAGATGGCTCAGATGCAGGTTTTTATCTCTATATGTTCTCTCTCACTCCAGTCTTCTGTCTGAATGAATGACAGCCTGGCTGGATGCACGCATGAGTCTACTTTGCTGTATGTTTAACAGTTATACACCTGATACTACAAATCTTCTATTTCTGTATTATACTTTTATAGAAAATATCTTATATTCTCATTTTCTTTTTTTATTTTTCTGCATTCTTTTAGAGGAAAAGTCCGGTAAGAAATACAGTTTTTTGTCTTATAACTTTTTAACAGTCTTGTGTTCTCTTGTTTTGCATGTCTCTAGAGCTGAAATGTAAAATGCAAATAACAAATCCTCCCATTTTGGAAGGCATTTTCCTTCTCCCTTGATTTAACTTAGAACATTTTAAAATAGAGCTAGGCTGTCTTTGCTCTGAATGTACATAGTCTGGGGGTATCGTTTGGGTGAAAAAGCTGGTGTTTTTGGACAAGATGTATAAGGGCACGTTTTACGTACGTCATTGCACATCAAAAGGTATGAGAGCGCGGAAAAACCCATCAGTGGTCGATGACCTCTGGTGCCACTGTATGCAATGGTGATGGCTTCCCCGAGAGGACTGGGCTTCAGACTGTTCTGAGCCCAAAATGGGGAAATTCACCCGTTCCATGGGGTTTGGGTTCCCTCTGGGGTCTCTCTGGATGCTGCTCTCCCCCTGCCTTGTGCCCCACGGCCAGGGTCACCCACCAGCCCATGGGAGCAAGGTGTTGCGCTCCCAGCGGCGGGTGCTGGGGCTGGGGGCTGTGTGGAGGAGGAAACCTACCTGGTGCTGTGCTGCTGTGGCCTGTGAACCTGTGATGGAAGGGTGTGATGGGTGTTGGGAGACTTGGGGTGCTGACCTGTCGCTCTCTGACCAGGTGTCTCTTCTCTCTTCCTTCTCGCTGACCGCAGCGGCGCAGCCCGGTAAGCACCCGTGCCTGCTGCTTCTGTCCCTGCCGCTCTGGGAATGGGGTGCTGGTGCGGTCTGAGTCTGTGCTGGGGTTATGTGGCGAGCGCAGGGGAAGGGGAGCGGGGTGCCGGTGCCACTAGCTGCCCCGTTGTGTGACCCCAGGTGATGGTGGGACCTTGTCCCCCCAGCCAATGCAAAGGAGTCCCTGATGATGGGCATCCTCCACGGCTCAACCTGCATCTTTGCGAACCCCTCAGAGACCCTGCCCTTGGCGCAGGCAGAGAGGCAGCGCTTGCGGTCCCGGGGTATGCCTGCTGCCCGTCCCCCCTGGCGGGGCTCCCGCTCCCTTCTCTACCATGCAGCCCCTGCGGTCTGGGAGGGGGGGTTGGCTTTTGCTGCATACAGGCATGTGTGTGTTGTGTGGCGAGAGCGAAGATTTAGATTGTTGAAAATAGGTTATTTGGCTTAGATCGATTTGCAGCCCATCAAACATGAAGATTTTGGTTTTACGTCACTTCTAATGGGGTGAGGGTGCCAGTGACTCCTGTAAGCCACTCACAGTCAGGACGGCTGTGAAGGCAGCCCTGCCAGGTGAGGCTTTAAGTGACTCAAAATCCTCTCGGTAGGGTTTTTCTGCTCCCTGTAGGCTGGGAGCAAACAGGATTTCACAACGCACACATGCAGCTGGGCATATTTCAGCTGTGTACAGTAAATATCACCCTAGATAGGCAATTCCTGCCGCATCTGCTGGGCTGCTTTGCTCCTGCTGTGTGCCTCCTTGGGTGACAATTGCCATGTGTCCGTGTCTCTGTGCATCCTGCTTACCTCGTGTGTTTCTAATTCCAGGGGACGATTAAAAGGAATTTATCCAGTAAGTATGTTCCACAGCCTTCAAGAACAGTAATTAGTGCTGGCAGTGTGGTGGTGGTATTTTAGGGAAGGGGGGGGGGCGGAAGGGAGGGGGTTAGGTTTGCTTTAAAGTGGTCCTGGCAGAAATTATGTCACCCAAATGTCTTCCTTAAAGAAGACATGTGGGACATCCTTGGGGTACCCTATAGAAACAGCGCAGCTCCCTAGTCTAGCTCTCTACAGAAATAAAATCTGAATTAATAAAACAGACCTTTTTCTGTCAGCATCTCCATAGCAGGCGTGGGACAGGACACGTGCTGCGCCGGTGGCATGCCTGGTGTGAGCCCTCCTGCCAACACAGGGTCCGGGTGGGCTGGGAGTGATGCTCGGGGGGCAGAGGAACAGCTCTAACCCTGCACTGTCCGTCCTGTGCTGCAGGTGAGGAGATCGCACGGCCCCGGCGCTCCACGCCGACGCCAGACCCCGCCAGGTCAGTATGGAGTCCATCGGTATAATTATCCAACGCAGCTACATTCAGGCACATCAACCTAATATGGTTTTCAAACATTTTGATGAGTAATTGTGCATTTACACCATTGCTCCATGGGAAGCATCTGTTTTCACCTCCAGATTTTGATCCTTTTTCACGTATACCTGGATGGGTCAAACCCAGAATAACACAGCAATGTCAGGGGGTATTTACTGCTGCACAAATATTGCCATCACCTAGCTGAACTACCCGAACTTGGCTCATCAAAGACACCATTGCAGAAACATCACTTTTATAACTTTTTAGGCTCATGAGACAGTCAAACGTTTGTGTTTGGTGTTTAAATAAGCTGAGTAAATGCTCCGTGCCGCTGGATGCAAGAGGCACAGGGAGCTTTGGGTCCACAGGCTCTTTGCTCAGATGCTGTGTGAGTAAATGAGAAAGGAATGGAGGTGCCCAGGCAGCGATGGCAGATCCCCCCAGAGCGTGGCCAAACAAAAACATGCAGAGTTGAGGCGCTGATGGCAGTGGCACCCCTGGTTTCAGATGCACAGCATCCATACTTGCTCTCCCACAAGAGCAGCAAGGACATCCACTGCTGGAAGCCGCCTCCAGCTGGATCGATAGGGAGAGCTGACAAGTGTGTGCTGTGGGTATATATTGATTTAGGAAAGCAAACAGACTAGTTGGTATGGAGTAAAGCCAAATCTCACCAGGAGCACGCCCTGTGCAGCTGCGTGGTTTTACTCAGGGTGCATTGGACCTGAGCATGGTCCAGACCTTGACTTTTTTTTCCTTTTCCATGCAGTGTGGAGTAGCTCTGACTAATCCTGAAGCAATCCCCAGTGCCTCAGCGACTGCTTGGGCACTACAGCATTTGCACTGTAGTGCTATGGCCAGTGCTACCACTCTCCTTTCCTTTTTTTCTGCCTGAAACCTTGTGTTTTGCTAGGTGCCTGTTAGTCTAGAACATAAATACTCCCTGAAAATATACGTATTGGTACTCAAACACTAGGTTTGAGTACTAACCTGAACCTCATGGTGTTCCTCTGTGCTTGTCTCGTCCTGCAGCAAGAAAGCCAGAGAGGACCCTGCCGCGCTGGCACC